TGAAACGTTGATGGTGCATTGGTGAGCCCGAAAGGCATCACCACGAACTCATAATGCCCATCACGAGTCCTGAACGCTGTCTTCTGGATATCTTCATCCTGAACCCTCATCTGGTGATATCCCGACCTTATGTCTATCTTGGAGAACCAAGACGCTCCCTGCAACTAATCGAACAGATCGTCGATCCTTGGAAACAAATGACGGTTCTTGACCGTCAGCTTGTTCAACTCCCGGTAATCAATACACATCCGGTGTGAACCATCCTTCTTCTTGACAAAAAGGATCGACGCTCCCCAAGGTGCGCTACTCGGTTTAATAAACCCCTTTCCAAGCAGCTCCTAAAGTTGCGAGCATAACTCTAGCATTTCGGGTGGTGCAAGGTGATAGGGTGCCTTGGCAATAGGTGCCGCCCCTGGTACCAAGTCGATATGAAACTCCACCTGCCTCTCGGGAGGCACACCCGGCAACTCCTCGGGGAAAACATCAGGGAACTCCCGCACAATCGGTACCTCATCAATTAAACTTGGCCTCCCAGTGGCCACTCGCGTGTCCAACACATAGCCCACAAATTCCCTACAGCCCTGCTGTAAACTCTGCCTCTCCCTAGCAGCCGAACAAAATGCTGACTCGGGACGGGTACCCTCACCGTATGCCGTAAGTACTCCCCCACTAGGGTCTCGAATTGTCACCAGCTGACGCTCGCAGTCTATAATAGATCCAAATTTGCTCAACCAATCCATGCCTACTATGACACATACGCCCCCCATCGCAATCGAGACTAGATCGATCAGGAACCTCACACCTAAGATCTCAAGTCTACATCCTCGAATCACCTCCGTAGCATACATTGCTCACTCGTTAGCTATAGAAACTCGCAGAGGTCGACTCAAGGCCTCTCGACAAATACTGATATGACGACTAAAAGCTAACGAAACAAAAGATCGACTCGTTCCCGACTCAAATATTACTAAGGCAGGTACAGAATTCACAAGAAAGGTACCTACGCATAACATAATATAAACATAATATCTCTTACTCAAATAAATAGAGAGAAGAATACATACCTGCCACAATGTCGGGTGCTGCGCGGACCTCCTCCGTTGTCAACTGGAAGGCTCTCCCGCAAGCCTTCGACGCCTCGACCTTTGCTGGCCGAACCTCGGTAGCCCTAGTAGCAGGCGCAGATCCCTGCACTGATCCCTGAAGTAGTTGAGGGCACTCGGCATTAGCTAATGGCCGGTCTGGTTGCAATGGAAGCAAACCGAAAATCCCTTGGGGCAATCACTTGCAATATGCCCCTCCTTCCCGCACTTGTAGCATACTCCTTCCAGCACGACCCCTCGTGACTCTTGCCGAACTTCCCACAAGTGCGGCCCTTCGCGCTCCCAGATCTCGAATCAGTGGGCCTGGCCCGCTTGGCTGCCGGCTGAGACTGAGCCGGCCGCGGATCCATCCTCTGTGACTCGGCCTCCTCCTTGACCTGAGTCTCCAACTCAATCTGTTGGGTCAATATTATGGTTTATACTTTGCTTTTCTAGTTGATTGTAATTTTTTGTAATATCTTATGTGTTTACGGTTAGGTTTTTGGCCAAGGGGGTGTTTACGGCCATAAACCCTGTTTACAACCCATGTTTACCCGGCCCATATTCTCATGTATATATAGGGGTGAGGGGTGTGTGCATTTGAAGGTGTTCTAGAGAGAGAAACTAGAGAGTGTGTGTTAGTGTGTGTGAATCTTGTATCCGGATCCTCATTGTAATCATATCATACAAGATTCATATTAATCTTCTTCTCCTTCTCTTCTATTTGATCTGACATCATTAGTTTGATTGGGATTCCGCACCATCAAACGGATCTGATTGATACACAGGCAAATTAGGGACTTACAATTGGTATCAGAGCTTGGTTGTATCAATCAATTTTTTTCAGATCTGGAGCTTATTTGATCTGATTTTGAAAAGAGAATAACGTTTTTGGATAGATATCGCAAAAATAAGGGGGGTTTCTTCTTCGTGTTTTTCGTAAAAACGAGTTTTTGATCGAGTTTTGGAGCAAAAATGGTGAAAAAAAACGTTGTTTTTCGTCAAGAACAACGATTTCTGAAGAGTTTACGGTCTTTGAAGGGTTTAGGGTCGGGAGTTTACGGCCGTAAACCCGTTTGCGGCTAGGGTTTCTGGAGTTTATGGCCCGATCGTGTTTCGGCCCAGCAGGAGTTTACGGCCCAACACGTGTTCGGCCCATTTTCGTTCAACGTTCTGCGGCCTCCTTTTAGTTCAGCATCTACTAAAAAAAAGGAATTTTGGGGGGTTGCAAGATTCAAACCCTGGTAGTCTCCCTCTTCACTCAACGCCTTACCGGTTCAACCAACTTGTCACACGCTACAATACTTCGAAACTTATGTGATATAGTCTTCACAAGCAGCTTGATTAGACTTAAAAAAAAGGGGGGGGGGGGGGGACAGATTTTAAGAGTGCCTGGAATCGAACCTTGGTCACCTGATTCTAAGTTTTTGAAGTTTACGAGGAAATTGAAAACATGAAAGAGAGTCGTCAGGAGATTTTAAGACAAAACTTCAACATGTTCGATTATATCCATGGAGAAACCCTTGAAACTCAGCTGCAACGATTTACTACACTCACTACTGAGATGAATATAGTTGGGATCTTCCTGTCAAAATTTGAGATAAACAAAAAGCTGCTGAATGCACTTCCGAAATCATGGGATATGGATGTGGCTGACATCAAAAAGACAAAAGATCTCAATCGTCTTGGTCTGGCTGATATAATTGAAGAACTTAACGCTTTGAATTTTCGAAAAACAATGAGTTCCGCAAACCTTCTGGTCAATGAAGTTTCATGTTCTCAATCGTGTGATGTTTCATGTTCTCAATCATGTGAAGCTACGATTAAACATCTTCGTGAACATAATGATTTATTACGTAGGGAAGTTGAGTACCTAAGATATGAAGGATATCAACTCAGGAAATGAAAGAAACCCTTGAAGGCCCAGTTAGAATAAAAAACAAAGGATTTTAAGAGAATTCAGACAGAATACAGTGAAAAATGTGAACTTTATGACTATATTAAGAGACAACTTGATGCTGTAACTGAAGAACTTGACGCCTTGAAAATTAAGTGTGGAAAAACAAATGTCAGTTTCAAAAATTATACCGCGTCAAGTCAGACAGTCGAGTCCTTATATGAAACCCAATTAAAATTCAAAGAAAATCAAAACAAGGGTCTAGGGTATGATAGTGTACCTCCTCCTTATAATCATAACTACACATCCATCCCTATAACACAGGACGAAACTGACAGGGAGCCACATCTTCGATATGGAAAACGAGCTGGATTTGTGACAGGAGGAGTTATTAATGTTGAAAAGACTAATGTTTCTACTTCATGTGCAAGTAAAGTAGCAGAAGATGAGAACAAGGAGAAAACCATTGAACAAACCAACATCTCCTTGAACTCTAAATCTGTTGCTTCGAACTTAACTGCTTCTGATCAACCTGCCGTTGAGAAATACAGGCCACCAATTCCAACGCAACAGAGTTCTTGTGGCAAGTGTGCATGTGGGAACAAGAAGAGACGAGGCAAAGATACGCCACCAGGGGCAGAAAGAAACAATTTCCCAGTGAAGAAAAAGACTTGTTTTCACTGTGGAACACCTAGTCACATTACCCGAAACTGTCCTAATCGCGCGTATGTTCCCTACTACGCACAAGGATGGAAAAACGCACCAAGTGGGAGATACTTCAAAAGAAACCCTTCCAGATCACGCTCAGACAATGGTGACTGGAATGTGCAGAAGGCCAAGAATCAATCCCATAAGGCCAATAATCTAAATCCTAAGGGCAAGAAGGGAATGTCGGCTAAGAAGTCCAATCCAAGAAATGATTCCGTGAAACCAAAATCAAAGTCATCTCAACGGCCGACATCAAGTTCCAAAGCAAGTACCGAGGTACCCATCGGATCGAAAAAGAAATGGGTTAAACCCAACTACAAATGGGTACCAAAGGCTCACTCTCCCAAATCAACTAATGACTCTAATATTTCTACATCTTCTGTTTGTGATAAGTAGGACATGTCATGGGAGAAAGTATTGTGCAAGGATGACAAAGGTCGACCCAGTTTCAAAATGGATTGGGTTCCAAAGACCAACTGATCCCACTCTGTATCGGAGCAGCCATGGAGGCATATCATCAAACTTCGGTTTGTTGGTAGTGGCTGTTCCAGGCACATGATAGGGTACATCTCTCAACTGTACAACACTCAGAACATTATTTTGGAGAATGTGTCCTTTTGCGGGAAAGGAAGAAAGGAAGAAAGGAAGATATCACAAACGGGGTTTATGCTTAATGATATGAAGAATTTTTGGATATGTTCTGAGTTTACGCGTGCTGTTCTCAGACCTTATAGCGGGATCTCTTTCTAGTTGCTTAAGATCCACCTGGACCACCTCATTAGGATTTGATTGTGTAGCTTCATTCCTATCATTCTCTTGTTGATTTTCATGTTTTGTGGTTGTGGTTCACTTGTTGAAGCTTTGTGACGTTTAATCTCTTCATTTTTATCATGAATTTCTTCATTATCAATCTTTCTTTTGAAGAAAGAATGAATGGTTTTCATATTTCCCAAGATTGTACCTATAAAAATCAAAATCAAAAAACAATTCATAAGAAAATAAGCAATAGTTGATTCTAAAACTCCAACAACAATCAAATATAGAGGAAAAGCAACAAAACAATTCATTCTAAACATATCAGTAAGACAGTAATCAATATCAGTTCATAAAATAGGCTCCTAAAATTAGTTGATTCCTAAAATTCCAACATATCAATTCATAAGTTTATTCTAGACAATAGCAACAAAACAGGCTCTGAAGTCAGAAAAATTCCAACTTTCTAATGACAATTAGTATCCAACAACTAAACAATTGTCACGGGAAAGAAATCAAGAACGGAATTGGAACTTGAAATCTCAAAGCTGAAAGCATACATGAGGAAGGGAATTGGGGATTGCAGCAGAATTGCAGCTGTGCAATCGTGCAGATTGAAGAATAGGAGGTCAGCCGTCAGCAGCAGGTAGCACTGTAGTAGCACCGCAGGTCCGTAGCAGCCAGCGCCCAGCAACGACGAGCAGGTGAGTGGCGACGACTGGCTTCGATTTGGTGGAGTCGCGATTGAGCGAAGCTGCGAAGATTAAGGACGGGGCCTGGGAGATTCGGTGGGAAGGCGGAAGCTTTACTGAACGATCGAGGTCTCTACTCACTTCTAGCCCAAAATTCCGGGGGGGGGGGGGGGGGGGGGGGGGGGGAACCCTCCTGGCCCTAAAATATGAGGAGATTAATATATTGTTATTTAAAATATAAGAAGTACATTCATAATATCATTTGTAGTAGTGGTCGCGGTGGACTTTTTAAAAAATATGAATGACTTTTTTAGAACTAAGACCTTGCATAATCGGCACCATAATGTCAAAGTGGACACACTTGGCAATTATGAATGGTTTTATAGATTAAAATATATGTGGTGGTTCATCCGGATTTGGAAAAACTTTAATGGCTTTTATATGTTTTTCCTTAAATTTTATATTTGAAAAACTATCTATAAGTTTCAGGATTTTGCACAAAACAATCTATTTTAACATAAGTTTTTGAATAAAATGACAAATTTAAAGGTTTTTTATTTCATTTTCTTTAGATTACAAAATAATTAACATTTAAAAATGTAATTTTCAATTTATTAAAGGCCGTTAAATCAATAAAGAAATTACATGCGCATAGTACGCATTATCTTTTATGCCGAATATACATGAGTATGTACGTAGTTGAAAAGTCGAAAATAGTTGCATTTCATGTCCAAAACAGTTTTTTTTTTTTTTTTTTTTTAATTTGAAAGCTTAGTCGAACGATTTAACTTTTTGTATAAGGTTCAAAATAGTGTAATCATGTGTCCAATATCTCATGGCCCGATTAGCTTACATGATAGTATATTTTTCGAATTTTTTAGATTATTTTGTTTAGTAAATAATAAAGTATTTTATACATCAGTTTTCTTTTCGACGTATTTATAGAATATTTGAAATTTCAAAACTTGACCCCACAAACTCTATAAATCATTAACATTAATAAAACAGCTTCATTTAAGTAATTAGGCGATTAAGTTGAATATAATAATATGACATTCATATGACAACTACACATCTATGTTTTATATAAATATAGGAACGATACATTTAATAGTCGCACTCTATGTTTTATATAATTATAGGAACGATACATTTAATAGTTACACCATGGGATACGAGAAATTAATAATAATATTAAAATTTTTAAGTTTTATTTTCCTCTAAATCATACTCTTAACTACTAATTTATCTACCATGTTAATTGAAGACTCAACATTTTAGAGAATGATCACATTTTCAAACACCTTGATAGTGCTACACCAAATGTCATTCGGTAAACTTACTATTACATCTGTCTCGTATTTATTATCTATTTTTTACTTTTAAAGTTTTTATTCTTCAACTTTAATTTTAAATATTTTTATTTTTGATATATAATACTTGATGTAAATTATGAATGAATTGTTTTTTACATGTCTTTTCATTATCATAAGTTTTATCAAGTAATATATAACACAAATAAAAATATATAAGGTTAAAATTGAATAATACAAACTTTAAAAGTCAAAAGTGGACAATAAATATGGGACGAAAGAGTATAATTTAATAAGATTATCCATAAATAGTTTATAACATCTTTTACGTTGTATTTTTCATTTTTCCGCTCTAACCCTCTAGTGTACCGGCACAGCGGGAGAGTGCTCAACTAGGATCCTCTTCGAACGTGAATTGCAGCAGTAGCAGCGGAGGGAATGTGACTGCTGAAACAGAAGTGAAGCTCGCTTCACTCACCCCGAAGAAAAGAGCTGGAAGGAAGAAGTTTATAGAGACTCGACACCCAGTTTACAGGGGAGTAAGAATGAGGGATAACGGGAAGTGGGTTTGTGAGTTAAGAGAGCCCAACACGCAGTTCAGGGTGTGGCTAGGGACGCATCCCACTGCTGTAATGGCAGCAAGAGCACATGATGTCGCTGTTTTGGCTTTCAGGGGGCCATCGGCCACTTTGAATTTTGCTAACTTGGTGTCACGGCTCCCTATCCCAAAGTATAACAGTATAGTAGATATACAAAAGGCAGCGGCAGAAGATGTGGAGGCTTTCAGATACGCAGAGGATACAATGGAGAATGTGGAAACAAAGGAGTCGTCGGAAGTTGATCAAGTTTACGAGGATGAAGAGGAGATTTTTGAGATGCCGGGTTTTTTTGCTAGCATGGCGGAGGGACTTATGGTACCACCTCCGCAGACGGTGGGGTATGGCAACGATGAGGATAATGTCGAGTTTTGTACTGACGATTCTTTATGGAGTCCTTAGAATTTCTGTTATATATATATATATATATATATATATATATATATATATATATATATATATATATATATATATATATATATATATATATATATATATATATATATATGAGAAAAGTGAATATACCCTTAAGGGTATATAAGCTTAGGTACCCAAACTCCCTATACTACGTCGTTTTGTGTCATATATATACATTGTAATTGTCTAATGTTCTTATAATTCAACTAATAACTTGATTTCATTCAATGATTTTTATAAATTTCACATTTATTTTCCTCTTACATAATTTTCATTTTCAACTATAATATATATAACCTAATTGATGTTCGTCAAAAAGATGTGATGTAAGAGGAAGATAATAATGAAATCTTGAAAATCTTGAAAGTAAATCAAGTTAAGGATTAAAGTTGAATAACATTATAATAAATATATCAAACAAAATGACATATTATGATGAGTTTGGGTACCTAAGTTTATATACCCTTAAGGGTAGATTCACTTTTCCCTATATATATATATATATATATATATATATATATATATATATATATATATATATATATATATATATATATATATATATATATATATCCTTTTCAATTAAGATATAAGATTGATTGTGTTTTTTGGTTGCTTCATGCACTACATGAATACATACCTATGGCGACGACACCTATACCGACGACAAAAGTCGTCACTCCAACCCCGCCCATGCCGACGACTAGTTGTCACCACACATTTTGCCAACTTTGACCAAAATTGTTTGACCCGGATACTTGTGCCAACGACATGTCATCTTGAAACCTCTTGCGGGAAAACGACCTAAAAATACGCGGTATGCTGAAAACCTATGCCGACGACTTGTCGTCAGTATAGCTTTCGATAAATCTATTTTCCAATTATTTATATTCGATGGTTCAGTTTACCGAAAACGACATAGTTTTACGGAATCTATATCAAAATGTTTTATTATTTATTTCATATACATATTTTTAAAGTTTTATTTAAATAATTCAAAGTTTTATTCAATATACATCAACATTTGCGACTTATATCGCTAAAATTGTATTCAATTTTCATTAAAAAATAAAGGATATATTCATTATAAATGGAAAATTTAAAGCTTATTCAATACATATGCATCATAGATTTAGAGTTTTCTCCATATAGATAACAAAGTTAAAGGTTTTATTTGATATCATAAATGCCACAAATAGCAAAACTTTGTTTAATATACTTAATACTTAAAAGTCAATTCGACACAAAGTTTTGATATTCCTAAATGGAAATGCTAGAGATGTATTCGATAATTCATCACAAACATCATAAATTTAATTGCTGGATATCGTAAGTTTCATTTGATGAGAAATTTTTGAGGCGTGTATACTGTTTTAAGTTGGATATGATTTGTTGGTACTACAATTAAAACGAATGAATCTATTGGACTAAATCTCAAAATGAGGCATCACTATAGGGACCAAGTATGCAATTTACAAAGTATCACACGTCCAAATAAACTAAAGCCACTTGGTTCAGTTTCCTTAGATCACTACTAGAAAACGGCCCTTTAATGACGCGCAAACAATGACACGCGCTGATAGAGGACACGCATTTGTGCGTGTGATAAAAAATAATGTCAGTGTTCTAAAATTTCAAGGATAGAGGGCACGCATTTTTTGCGCGCCCTAAAATTAGTGTCCAAGAAAAAAAAAACACGGAGGGCACCAATAATAAAGAGCGTGTCGTGTAACTATGTCGTTTTATATTTTTTTTAGGAAGGCGCGTTCTCTGCCTGCGATGGGGGGAAATGAAATCCCAAAAAATTAAACACATCGCATGATCATCTCCTTCTTCTCCTTCTAAAATCCTCTCCCAAAAAACCCTAATAATCCTTTAAGCAGTTCGTCTCTTTCTCTCTCTCTCTCTCTCTCTCTCTCTCTCTCTCTCCCTCTCTCTCCTTTGGAATCAGATTCTTGAAAGATCAAGTTTCATCCTCGCAGTGTCAGCGACTCCTTACGCTCACACATGCCTATGCCGACGACTGCGACTTCTTACACTCACGATGTTGTCGATTAGGGCTCTAAGTCTTGGATCCACCTCCTGTCAACCCTACTCCATCTACTATGACTACCAGGCCCGGCCCAGGGCATGGGCAGGTTGGGCAATGGCCGAGGGCATCATTCCTGAGGTGGCATAATGTAAGTCTGGTCTGGTCCGGTAGCTATATGTGATATTTTCAGCCCACTGTGCTCAAAGCCCTCAATTTCGTATCTGATTGGCTTGAAGGCGGTAAACCAAAAATGAGAAAGAGGAAGGCAACATTATCGGTGCCTAATAGAGAAGACGACGAGACGAATCTCTTGGGAGATTTTGTTGCGTAGCATCGATTGGGCGTTTAACTACATTCTTCGTGCAAATATCGAAGTACATAGGCATCGATTGGCCATTTTGCAGAGCAACAGTAACAAAAAAGAAAAACCATTTAGTTTGTGTTTTGTTTTCTATGTAAATGATAAATCAGAAATTGAATCTCCATCTCGTATCATCATTCATCTACAATCTCTTTGGCTTTTATTATGTATTTTAAATATTTGATTTTTATTTTATGTAGGGCGAGTGGATCAGCCAAAGACAAGAACGATTATGCCATTTCCCTTGAATAGTTGAAGTTTCACCTGCAATTGGGTTTTTCTTGCCCTTTAGCTTGGATTCTTGGAAGACAAATTTGTTTTGTAGTCTTGAACATGTGGTGTTTTCCTGGTGTTTTAATTGAGGTTTGGCCTTTGGTTGCCTAGAGTTCTGACTTCTGAGAATGACATCTGCTAGTAATTAATGTCCTTTGATTCTCTGTGGCTATGAATGTGTTGAAGAAGCACATAAAGATTATCCAACCCTTTTTTGAAACTCTGCAGGTTGCTTTCTTGATTATCTTTTGATGTCACTTCTCTCTTATGCAAGGAATATCCAGGTAGGTATAGAATATCTTTTGGTTTCTTTTTATTTTCATCTTCATAGTTCATATATAATAATAATAATAATAATGAGGTTGTTTTGTTTTTTTTTTTCAGATGCTACCATGGGAAAACCTGCCTGTTCTAAGAAAGCATGAGGTCTACCGCATGCCTTCTGTTGCCAGTATATCTTCCACATTTTAAAGACGTTGCAAATTTCAGGAAAAAGAAAAGGATACTTGTGCAGTCTTCCCAACACAGAGGCTGCATTTTTTTTTACTTTTTCTTCTACTACCTACATTACACATAATCTTAAAAATTATTTATTTATTTTGAAAACAGGTTTAGGCTTATTGTGAAGCCTATAGCTGATGTAGGCATTATAAAGGAACAACGGGAACTTGTTGACTTTGACTCTTTTTCACTCACACAATTTGCCATGAGTGTTGTCATGGGATAGGACCACATACAATAACACTTCTAGATGGTCAAAAGTCAACTGTGAGATTGGTGGGGTTTTTTTTTCATTTCAAATTTAATAATCTTTATAAAATTATAATTGCTTTATATGAATCGACAAACAGGAGCTACAAGAACTACATTTAGCTTTGGAAGAAGCTAAAGTGGACATTGTTGGTCTGTGGGCCCTAAAATTTCTTATAGATAAGGTCAGTGGTATCTTGATATATAATTTTTAATTAAAATATTAATTTGTGTAAAGTAAATTTGAAGATAATGAAAAGTTGACCATATTTTTGGGTTGGTTGACCAGGATGAGCTTCCAAAGCGCCTGGTCAAGTCAATGTACGTGTCTTACCTTGCAGGTTGCTTACGGTCTGTACGTTTCGGGTTAGAGGAAGCTCATGGGTACTCCACTCGATATATTTATATATTAATCTGATTAAATGTTTTTTTTAATTATTATTTTGAAAGTTTGTTACCAGAAAAGGTCAACTACAGTTCAACTGGTTATTTGAGAAAGGGGGATTTGTTTTACATCCTGATGAAACATTTTATGTTGACTTTGATAAGGTAGCGTGGTTGTTTTATCATTTATAACTTATAGATCAAGTTCCCATTAGGATGATAATGAAAAATTACTAACTTTTTTTTACTGGTTTGATAAATGATAGATTTAAGATGCAGTCGAGGGGTTAAGTAGGGTTATACTTACAACACAAGGAAAAGGGGACAAAGATGCTGCTTGACAACTTCTTACAAAATACTGTGTCATGACACAACCTTTAAAACATGCTTTGAAAAAACTAGAAATGGTTCAGGTAAATTACTTAACATGTATTTACTACTATTTAGTAATATATAACTTCAATTATCCCTCATATTTACTCCTTATTTTATTTTGATTTGTATTTTGCAGGTTCCAATGGATATAATACCGGACTTCCCAGTTGCTGATAAATTGCTACAAGAGAAGTCATAAATGCTTCTTTTTTTTTTTTTAATAATTTTGTTGTTACTTGTACTTACTTGTTGAAGTCAGGAGTTTTATTCCAAGGTAAACATTGCTTATAACTTTCTATAATATTTTCTTATATAAAATTTACATTTCTAACTTTTTGGTGTTATTTGGTGTTTTCTCATTTCAGGTTCAAGTGTTGAACACAATCTCCATGTTGATTGCCTATGTTGGTGACATCATCTTATACGCCTTTGAATTGGTTCAATTTTTTCAAAAGGTATTTAATCCAATTACTACATTTTTAGAATAAAATTGTTCAATCAATTTGTTTAACTGGAAAAGAATTCTTTTTTAATTTAGAGTCTTGGGAGGAATCTTCTAGTGAAAGCCTTTTGCAGATTCAACTTCTAACTGCTCTGAAGAACTTTGTAGTTGCACTTGGGTACAAGTCCCCTATGTGAATACAATGTTCTTCTCCATGTTCTAGTTAGTGGGCTTCATGTTAATAGCTTAGATGAACTTCTTGAAGACATTATGCAAGTAACAATATTGTAATATATATATATATATATATATATATATATATATATATATATATATATATATATATATATATATATGAAATTATAACT